GTTACTAACAACACGCATGAATCAGTGTGTTGTTTAGGCATGTTACATGTTATGCTAGGACAATTATGACCCAGTACTACTCAGCCAGCAGGTTTTGGGAATGAGTACAGAATAAATATTAGGGGGGAAAAAGAAAGAAGAAGAATTCAAAAAAAGGAGGCTTTGCAAATCTCCTAACAGGTCGATAAGTAAACCTAGAAGATTTAATGTGTTCTGTTTCAAGATTTTTATCATCAAACAAGACCTAAAAACCAAGCTATAAGATTGCTTGCATTAAGTCAGGGAAAGCCAAAGGGATAATATTAAAATAAGTATCAACGTGATCAAAATAGATTCCTTGTCCAAAGTCTCCACATTTCTAGGAAAAAAGGAAATATTTAGAGGCGTTACAGGAGAATTACAGAAAATCAAAGGAGAGGTTTTGTTTTATCAAAAGAAATGAAAAAAAAAGGTGTTTAGAAGGATAAAAAGAGCTTTAATGTTAGGCCAACAAGCACCAGAAAGCATTTTGGTTCAGACCAACATTAGTAGGAAATAGACCACCTCACTTCTGAAACCTGATGCTCAAAACAATGAAAAGCTCCATGGAAATGGGAGGAAATTCAAGGCTCTGAAACAAAAATCTTTTATTCTAGGTCTGCTGTGTATGGCTTTAAAGAAAAAAAAAATTACAATTAGCACAGATACCGTTGTCTAACCTAAATCCATCCGAGCTGCTCTTTTACCTGCTTTCATGATCTTTCCCCTTTCATCTTCTTCTGACTTAAGTATCTTTTCATCACAAATCAGGTTTTCCAAGTACGTAACAAAATCCATAGTCAAATATCTCACACACACACAAAAAACCCAAACTCTGGCATCTACTGATTCCCTCCAAAGTATCGCATGTACCTGTCCGCCTGCAAAGATGACGGGTGATCCTGAAGGCTTGGGTCTGTAGGGGATAGTGACCCCCTTAGGGGGAGACTGTACAAAAGACAAAGGATCTGTTAATACACTGATATCCATTTTATCATAATGTTTTACATCTGTTTATATAATCATTAATACAGATTAAACACAGCTGCAGTGTAACAGTATCTGTGTTTTTATATATACAATAATATCAGCTCAAACCATAAACTCTTGTCTGAGCCTAATAAACAGCAGCTGACAAGCCGAGAGATCATATATCTGAAACGACGACGAACAGCCACTTCATCTGCTTCACTGCTTACCTCAAGCATGACCACACAGATCTGCTTGACGCACTCAATTATCGACTGGGGAGTGCCAGCAATGGTGATGGCACGCTCCGTGGAGTTGGGGAGCATGTCTCCAGCCACTTGTACCTGAGCACCGGTTGACTGAAATACACAAATGAAAGAAAGTGAGATGCAGAGACAAGTGTTGCCTTATAACCTAAAGCAGAAAGGTGACAGTTGGCTGAGGTTGAAGAGAACACAGTTTTTGTAGTGCACACCTCTCGAATTTCCTTGATCTTGCATCCACCTTTTCCAATAAGCGAGCCACACTGGCTGGCAGGCACCACAATGCGTAGGGTGACCGGGGGCTTGCTGGTAGCTGTGCTGTTTGTCATCGAGCTGCTGATATCCTGATCAACAAAAAAACAAAACATTTGGGTTCATTCACATTCTGACTGGACTAGTCGTCGCTTTCTTCCTCTCTGAGGTCAGGAAAAAATGGAATCTACCTCTTCCAACTTTTCAATGATCATGGAGAATGCTTTAAATATGGCAGTGGTTGGACCTGCCAATGTAATGATCCTCTCAGGACAATTGCCCTCTGAGATGTTGATGCGAGCTCCGCTCTACAAAGAAAAGTAAAGAATAAAATGAGTGATCTGGAGCCTTTTGTAGCCTGTTAGTAAGTATAACTTTACATATTACTGTTTGCTACTATATACAAAAAAAGAAGCTGTGTGTAAAACACCTCACCTCTTCTCTCATCTTCTTCACAGATTCACCTTTCTATTTGGAGACAATAAAGACAAATTTAGTATAACTTAAAAACAGATCTTCGACGACTGAAAATGAAAATTGTTCATTTAAACAGCATCTTACCTTCCCGATAATGCTTCCAACTTCCTAAAAAAGGAAAGGTCACATGTTATTAGCTTGAATTTGCCTTTTATTACCAGAGTTTCAAAGCTCCCAAGACACGGTTTGCTTAGCTTATAGGGAATTAAAAATAAATAAATTTAGAGACACAAAAAGTTATTACTTTCATTCCTTTATTAAATCCTCAGTTGTCACAGTCATTAAATAACGATGGATTTTTCATTAATCTCCTGCTGATCATTAAAACTCCTTCATCTAATCGTCTTTAGAACATTTGGCCTGATCCATCATGAACATCCACATTTGTGTGTCCGGTCTGTCTCCACATACTCAACAAATGAGATCCAGGAGGCAAACTAGCACACAGCATCTGTGGGTTTCTTACACTTCTCCAGGCTGCTGTAAGATGCTACAAGTTAAGGAGCTGACTGCGAGTTGGCCCCATGCAGAGCATAGGCGCAGCTTTGCAGACCATCATCTACATGTTGTAGGCGTTTACTGTCACCAGGTGGCAGTGTTAAAAATATTTGGAACAACCAGCCTGCAGGCTATTCTTGTGTCTGCTGTCGTTGGGTTTTTTCAGCCTGCAGGAGAAGACCCAAGTCAGAACATAACACGTTCAAACCTACGCATATCATCACAACCATCCCGCTACATGCTGCTGGTTTTTCAAGGACTGCAAGCAAGCATGTCTGCATAGGCATATCCATAATCCTTCGCTTTGCCAAGCCAAATACCAATGCAAACACACACAAATGTGGTAGCATAAAGTTTTTGGAAAATCTTTTTGTCTTCCTTGTTGACATGACATACCAACATTTTAAACCACCATTTAAAAACTAAATAAATTAAAACAAAAAAAACAGGCTACTCTGGGACCCAAGAGATGCCATGTGTGGCTTTTGCACTGTCATAAAGCCAGATGGATTAGTGAAATTAGCATATTCTGTTTACCAATTTTAGATTTTAATACATTGGACAGTGATGCCATGAATATATTTGTGTAATATCATTTCAGCAAACACTTAAACAGGAGATTTTAAAGGTAGAAACTAAAGCTGAGTCATAAGTGAAAACACTTATTTTGGTATGCAGGATTGTAACACTGAGGCAATATCCCTAGTCATCCTACTAATGTCCCTGCCTTCAGTATATCTCAGGGGGAGGCTTAATTTTCGTAAATAAAACATCATACACTATCAAATGCAGACACAAGCTGTCAATGGATGACCTCACCTTGCCATGCATGAGCAGCCTAATGGTAAGGGTGACATTGAGCCCGCCTTCAATCACACCGGAGTCCATGACTGCAACTGCAGGTCAGTACAGAACTGAGGTCTTTGGTCACTGAGATGGATCTAAGGAACACAGAAAAATATGCACACATTAAACTAGAAATATGGTGTAGAGTGAGCCGCCATTCATTAAATGAGACAAATATAATCTAAAATACTGTTCCAAGATGCTGGTAAATAAGCGCACCAAGTATTTCGCTATTGAATGTTACATTTCAAAATGTGTTTAAAGGCCCGTAGATCCCATTCACCCATCTTACTAAGCAATTATCTTACTAATTATACCAACTCACAACATTAAATTTTGAAATTGAAATTTCACAAATCTGTTGGCTGAATGAATACGGCCTGATAAAACAGTTCCAAACATATTGTGTTTGTGTGACATTTAAAAAAAAGACTAATTCCACTTCGTGACTTTAGAGGATTCGAAAAAATAGTCCACAATAAATTTGGAAGATAGCATATGCTAACCTTAATGCTTATGAATACTGATGCGTACTAAGATGAATCAGACAAATATGGCCAAGGACTTTTACTAGATTCTCCAGGGTAGGTGAATTTACTTCCAACTATCTGAATGCTGCTTATGTGACTCTAAACAGGCGCTGGAAAGACCTCGATGTTAACTAAAACACATATAGCTTATACGCTAACGATGCCTTAATCATTAGCTATGCAAGTTTATCAACAAACATGCGGACACGCTCGTCACGAACCGGACCTAAATTTCATAAAACACGCACACAACAATTTTCCGTGTAAAAAACAAGACATTTAGTAGCACACTTTGGCCGTGATGTTTTAGTTAAACTCAAATCATTTAACTATTAAAAACTAGTTGTGAACCTGTTAGCCACTTAGCATTGTGGTCGAGCTGGAAAAATGAATGGAGCATGCGTGCGTTACTTAGCTAGCTAGTTAGCTAGCTTAATTTGTCAACGTTACAAAACAGCTGCCTAGTTATCGGTGGTCTTCATAGCGAGGTAGATTGGTCCAATTTTAATCAAGTGCAGGCGATAAAGATGACAAAAAATGCCCATAAAGGAGACATTAAAATAAAACTTCCCCCTTGGCTAGCCAAGCTATTGAGCTCAGTCAGCACGGAGACTGCGTGCTCATCATCACGCGGCCTGTTAGCACGCAGAGCGAACCGCGGCTAACTGCTGGGCGCGATTTCTTTCCGCGACTTCTGATCATAACAACAAATATAAAAAGAGCAAACAGCGAAATCAAACTCACCTGACTCGTGCGCTGATAGGTGATCGGGGGGAGGGTTGGGGTTGTAAGGGTAGAAGGGGAGAGGTTCGGGAGGGTAGAAACCCGGGGGAGAGTTTAGAAAGGACTCGGGGAAGAGGGAAGAGTGATGTGAGATCGAGCTCCACTCCTTTACACAAAGACAACAAAATTGTGACCTCTGAACTTTTCCCTTTCACCCATCACAAACCCCGACTCCTCCCCGAGTCTGACCTATTTTTTTCGTAAAGCACGCCCCAATAAAATGTGGGACAGTTTGCGACAACATGGCAGGTTATTTGAAAGGACATAATTTTAAAAAAAAAAGAGTTATGCAATACAGTGCATTGCTAAATTCGTTTTGAAAACGAAAAGCCAGTTGATGGGAATAACAGACTGTCTACGTGTTTTATCTGTTTATATAAATTAACAAAAAAAGTTTTAAGATATCTTTCAGATTTCTTGCAGTTTCTAATATATTCGGATTTTATAGCTGAATAAAATACTTTTTAAGGAGCCGCTAGAGGGCGTAATATTCCTTACTCTCCTCTTCTTCGGCTGCTCCCTTTAGGGGTCGCTACAGAAGATCATCTGCCTCCATCTCTCTCTATCCCTAGCATCCTCCTCTGCATGTCCTCCTTGACTGCATCTATCAATCTTCTGTATGAGCTTCCTTCTGCGTGGCAACTCCATATTCAGTATCCTTTATTCAATATATCCACTCTTCCTCCTCTGCACCATGTCAGCCTTGCCTCTCTGACTTTTTCTCCAAACTGCTTAAACTCAGCTGTCCCTCTGATACACTCGTCTAATCCTGTCCCATTTTGGTTAAATCCCAGTGAAAACCTTCAGAGCATCTTCAACTCTGCCTCCTCTCTACCAAAAATCATAGCAGTAAACCCTTGAAACCTTTCTATTTGCCCTTGCTGTTATCCTTCTGGGACAAATCATCCCTGATTGGTCTCCACCCTCCCTACACTCTCTTCTTCACTCTGGATGGTTGACACCAGGTATTTAAATTCTTGTATCTTCTCTATTAAATCTGTCTCCTTAGTGAGCATAACATTTATTACAATTTCTTTAAAAAAAAAAAATCTAGATCTTTCTGAGCAATGTCAAACACACCATAGACTTTTTATGTAACTTCATTTATTAATACAATTTATTTATTTAACTTTAAAATGAACGATATTAACAAGCAACAGGTTTTTTCTGCAGCCATGCACAGTAGTGATCATAAAATTTAAAAAAAAATATACCTTTAATTAACTATATTTTCTATATCCCTTTTAACTTAATTACATTAAGAAAATCATCTGCACAGTGCTGCAGTCTCTTTTTCAGTTATCTACATGTTTGTCATTGTAATATTAGAGAATAGTAACAGTAGATAAATTGCAACATTTCACCTAAAAACCACAAACCAAAGTAAAATTCAACATGAGGTGGAATCCCAGTGCCGATTAAAGTTGTGACAGTAACACACACACAAAAAAAGAGCTGCTGTATGCATTTCTAGTGTCATACATTTATACTGAACATGTGAGATTTGCTGCGACTCAGCAAAAATCTGCAAAAGGCTATAAGAACTGCTTTAATGCATTGACAGTTAACTGTTAGTAGTTAATAGTTGCGCTGTGCTGTTGTTACACAGCTTTTTTTGTGAAAGCCATGCTTCAAACCAGTCGCCTCAGTCTGAGTCGCTGCTGCTGCTGCTGCTGGAGGACTGTGAAGACAGAAACAGGAAATTATACATCTGTTAATCGTTTTAAAACAGTTAAAATATAGATTTTAAATTATAAACAATGCCTGATCTGCTTAAGCAATCTTCAACAGTGAACAAAGAAACACACGGTTTTAAAAGTCACCACCAACTGTTTGCTCTTTTCATTCAAAACTTAAAAATTAAACCATAAACTCTGACATTCTAAATTTAAACCCAGTCTCACCTTGCCATGTTTGTAGTGCTTATGTTTGTGTGCCTTTTTCATCTTCTTGTGCATCTTTTTGTTTGCTTTGTGCCCAACTAGCCCCATTCCCATTCCTGCAACTCCCCCGGCTAAGGCTCCAGACATGGGATTTAGCCCTCCATGATGAGGATGACAACCTTTGTGTTTGCCGCCTTTTGGGGAGTGTGGATATGGACCTGGGTGAACACCTGCAGGAGGAACAACTGGATATCCACCTGGAGCCATAGGATAAGGGTGAAGTCCAGGAGCTCCATAAGGCATTGCCCCTGGTGCACCGTATGGTCCCATGGCTGGATTCATAGGAGCTGGGAACTGGCCAGCAGAGTATGGAGGTGGAGGCTGGGGGAATGCTCCTGGAGGAGGGGCAGCAGGATAAGCAGGATTGTAGCCAGGAGGAAAGGCAGGATTTGGTGGGCCGACTGGAGGAGGAGGACCTGATACAAGTAAAAGCACACATCCATCTTACACACTGTATGCTTCATAAAACATCATAATTAAATGGTAATCATGTTTGATGTCCTACCTTGATTTGGCCACATGGTTTATATATACACTGACCTAACAGAAAAATCCTAGAGGAAAGACAAAGGAAATGCAGTTTAAAAATATTGGATTAAATTAAAATAACACTTAAATATATCACTCAGTATATCTTGATTGAATTCGTGATTCTACCCAAATTAAACAAACAGCAGTTAACATTTAATCAGTGGCTTCTTCATTTTTCCAGATCAAAACCAGATATTCACTTTACAAAGACAGAACAAAAGGGAAAAGCAGTCGGTGTTTACCCTCAACAACAATGAGAAATATCTGGTGGGCTTTTTTTGGTTGGTTGTTGACAAAGAGACATCAGAGCCAGAGGCAGTTACTCACCTGATCACCTCTAGCTGTCACGGTTTCTCATTTCACAATTTGTGTTTGGTGTACACACGGATGCACAAAGTAAGCCGTTTAATGCGAACACCTAAATAAAACTAAACCAAAGTAAACCCCTTCAATTGATCCTCCCTTTATGAAGGTCTTGATATCTGTCGTCTGTTTGTTTTTAAGTGTTTACCGTGGAAACTGTTACATTTTGTAGCACTTGTCAGTACAGAACAAGGCTCATCGCTGCTATAAACCTCAATACAACACACAACAAAGGCTTAAATGCCACATGTATACTCTTACAGAGGATGATCTGACAAAACATGAAGTCATAATTGCTCAACAGCTTGTAAATCCGCAACACTTTCTCCATGTTTCTCCACACAGCAAGTTCAGCACACTCAGTCAGTCGTTATTGTGAGTTTTAGCTGTTTGTCCCACACGTGTCACTTATAATAACTGCATCAAAATCTAAAGATTTCACAGGTTTTACCTTTGGAACTTACCTCGATTGCAGTGAAGTTTCAGGAATTCCGAAAGAGCAGTTTCGTGTTTGTCTTCCGCATCCAGCTCCCGGAAGGCTAAAGAAGCACATCAGGAAGCCACGCCCTTTGGGAGGGACGCTGCGCATTTAGTTTACGCAATGGCAATGGCCCATCACACATGGGAACATGGCTAAAACAGAAAACAATCTGAGTGATCTTTTTTTAATGGGTGGAGTCAGGAGTTAAGGTGTGTGTCGTGACACACACACGCCTGACTTGACAGTTATTTTCACCTGTGACTCATGCCCTCATGGCAACACATAAAACCCATGACATCATGGATCAGCACTTGGAAATTGTTAAACAATACACAGATTTCAAAAGGGTTAATACAATCTGTTTACAGCAGACACGATGGCCGCAGTGAATTACATAGTTTAGTTTTAATGTCCAAGAACTGAGTTTTTTATGCTTGTTGTCTCCAATGACATCAACACAGACTCTGTGCAATTCATAAAAGTTTCACAATTAGCTAAAGCACATTGTAAGAAATAAACTATAAAACTGACGCTACATTAAATTAATCCATAAATAATGTGATTAGTTATTTGCTATAATCAGTGTAATATTTCAAATTATGATACTTCAAAAGGCCTTTTGCACATTGGTATGACCTGGGTTGTGTCACTGGAATACCTGAGTAAATATTCAAACATATTACATACATCCAGTTTTTTCAGTACGTGGAGGATCTCTTGACGACGAGTACAGGTTCATAATTTAAAGCCACCTGCAGATGGAGACATTTGAGCATAACTGTAAATGTAAAATGGTACCTTTTTTTAAGTTATGCTATACATAAATAAAGCTATCACAGAGGTGGCCACAGAGTCAGCTGATCATTCATTAATCAATCCAAGTGAGATGAGCTTCAGGGCATGATGGCTGGATATTCTCCTTCAGGATTAAGGACGATAAACATCCTTCCACACCTTTCATGGCCTCCATGGAGGTCTTACTGGTGTTTCACTGCTAATCAGCCACAAAATGCAGTTTGGAGAATGTAGGAAAAGAAAAATATCTAGTCTAACTGCATTATTTACCACATGAACGTGAAATCAAAATAATTTTAGCTACCATTTTGTTATCACAAACAGCAGCAAGCGGGATGAAGCTCTTCGTTTCTGGGGTCGGTTTCCTCAAACTGTTTTTTTTGTGTCTCACGTGTTGTTTTTTTTTTCATATACTATAGAGAAAAGCTTTTTTTTTTAGGGGGGGGGGAAAGGTCATATAATAACGTCAGCAAATTCGTGCTAATTTAACCCTCAAAATCACAATAATCTATTTTATTTTCGGGCAGCTTTGAAATCAGCGGGCAATTAAAAACGAGTAATTGAAGGTGTGTTTGCAGGTGTGCGGGAGCCTAGCTAAAACTCACAGGCTAGCAGGGTGCTATCCACAGTCCAGGTTAGGCACACACACAAGAGGCGACAGAGAGGCCAATAAAGTAGCATTTGGTTACCTGTTTGTTCAGATAAACGTGTCCTAAACAGGTTTTGAGGCTAATTTTAGTGATTTCTTTCTGTCTTTGGGCACGGTTTTAATGATGAATTCGCTAACAACGGAGCTAGCTGATGTTTTTTTGGAGGACTCTGAAAATGATGTGACATTTCACGGCTTTTCCGACACTGAACTCAAAGATGAGGTAGGATTTTGTTTGGTTTTAGGCCTTTAAAGCTTCATATATCCATACTGGGGTGACCAGAAAGCCAAGTACTAACTTGGAGTGGTTGTTTATGTGGGACACATTAGGCTGAGAGGTGGCTTAAATTGTTTATATACTACATTTAAAAAGAAAAAAGCACCAACTCTACAAGCTAATGTGTTTTATTTGAAGACGATTTTTACCACTTCTTCTGAGCATCAATTGATACTAACCTCCTTTTTATGATTTAATAAATCTGTATTCTCTTTTTCTTTTGTAATGATTCTTAAAGATGTAATCATGTGTGGGTTTTCTCTGGCAATAATTAGAATTGGCATGTATTTTGGTTGTTTCACGATAAAGTGTTACCAAATCCAGTAATTTTACTCTGCATTCATTCAGACAGACTACTTCTGTAAAGGGATTTGGCAAAAAGATCTGTTATTCTGTGTTGATATTCAGCAGAATTGCAGTTTTGGAGATGAAGCTCAGCCTGACATTTTCCCCAAGGAGGAGGAAACTACATCTAAAGCATCTGCTACTTCTACAGTTAAGCCCTTCAGGCTGAGGGTGGCTCTGCGCTCAGCTCCCTCTACCCAGCAGTCTACCGACGATGAGGATTCAGAGGCGGAGGAGAGGACGACACACAAGAAAGGAGTGAAAAGGACAGGACAGCGCAATAGGACAAAGGAGGAGAGACACGTGAAATTCGAGGATGGCGAGGCAGCAGCAGCTCGGCCTGCTTCGACTGAGGACCATGGTTCTGATTCAGCAGATGATGCGTCTGACACTTTCCTGGCCAGGAGAGAGCAGAACATTAAAGCCAACAAAGCCATGGTAAATCAGACACGGCACCACATACCGAGTTTAAAATGTGACAAACTGATGTGAAAACAAACAAATTTGGTCTCAGTGAATAGTACAATAATACTTTCAAGTGCTGACCTTCTACAGTGACTCCTGTTGCTCATCTTTAACAGTTGGCTCAGCTGATGGCAGACCTACAGAAAATGCCAGGAGGTGCAGGGCTGCTGAAGAAACAAGCAGGAAAACAGAAGGCAAAAGACAGAAGCTCTGTGAGTGTCGTGGAAAATGTAGGAACTTTCAGCAGATCTCTGAATTTTTGAATTTCCTTATGGATCGTATCACTCCTGCAGCATCCGCCGCGATCTGCTGCGACTGGAGGAGAGTCCAGGAGAAACCCAGAGCGGGCATCTCGCAGGCTGACAAGGTCCATGTCGGGAACGGAGGATCCTTTGGCCGCTGAGGAGGCAGAAGTGGAGCTCAGCTTGGAGGAGGAGCTGCTGGAGGTCAGTTCTGTCACTTATCAGCAGCCAGTTAAAGTCTACAAGGCCTTTGGAGCATTTGTTCAATATAGTGCAGTAATGTACATATTTACATGTGATTTATTTATTGGTTTAGCTTTGAAATAGATGGCAGTCAAGAAAATCTTATAAACATTAGTGTTCTGAACCGTGCGTATGCTTTCCTCAACCAACACTATACAAACATTTAGAGAACCAGAGTGATAAGGAGTGTGGCAGTGAGTGAAAGCCATCATTTTATTCTGCTCTATTCTCTAATCTTTCTTGTCAGTATCCATTTAAAACTTGAAGCTAAGTGGATTATTCTTCTCATCATCTGTTTCAGGTACGCCAAGCTCCACGGCGTCGTGGCGTCCCACGAGGTAATCGAAGCAAACCTCACGTTATTCGTCCGGTAGAAGAAATCACAGAAGATGATCTCGAGTTGGTCGCAGACAACATGACCGAGAAAGTCTACAACAGTGTCACAGTGAGTTCACTGCTGCTGTTATTCAAACCCCGTTAGCACTCAGTGTTTCCAGGTGATCAGGATACATGGTTGGATGAGGACTTCTGAGATAAACACTCTTTTTGTTTGTTTGTTTTTTTTAAATTCTGTACACATTGCCTTCACATAGTAATAAACCTATTCTTTAGGCTTTCGTGGTAAGCTTGTCTGTGTCCTACGGTCAAGAGAACATCTGACAGTTATATTTAAACTCCTTTTTATGAGTGTACATTTGTGACCTCCACCTTCTGCTTGGTGCTCTTAAGTGGGATTCATGATGGTGTGGTTGCCTTTATCTTTGGCTATGTAAAGTGAAGTATTTTCTATATGCAGCCTGTGTTTTTGTACATAGCCTGAAAGAGATGACGCTTTCTGTAGGTCAAGTGTTGACTGAAAAGGTAAAGGAGCGACAGAGCGACAAAACCATGCCATTCCCTTTAAACTGAATTTAGGCTTCTGCTCTGTAGAGGCTACAACGAAGCCTGCACAAGCAGCCAACACTGTTCCCATGTTTATGCCTGTGCAGCTGTTTCCATGACGTGTAGTTACATTTGTAGAGGTGCACAGCAGGTGATGGCGCAGGTTACACAGAAGGGTTTGAGGTTACGGTTCACCTAAGGTGTTGATTTACCAGAGGCAGATAAATCGACATTAGCCACCAGGCTAAAGTCGATTAGCTTGGTATGCTTTTTTTAATTTTCTTTTTTTCCTTCTTCTCCACCTAATAATGATAACACTGCAGACTGCATAAACACCCAAGAACTGAGGGTTGTTCTATGAAGCAAGATTAACGGCTTAGTCAGCTATCTCAAGCTTAGTTTTATGTACCATGAAAGTGTACTTGGTTAAATCACCAGGGTTGGGAGCAGATTATTTATGTTCATTAAAGAATCTTAATCACTATTGTATCACATCATCAGATAATGTGTCTGGAATAAGCAACACTCGTAGGGATCGTTTTGTGAAGACCTGTGAAATGAACCTTTTATCTGAGTGTGCACAGAACCTGAAGCGGAGAGACAACCAATAAAGATAAACCACCGTCCTGAGCTCAGACTGGTGTTTTTAGGGTTTTTTCGAGCCAGAAACCTGGCTGTGCTGAATGGTGTTCATAATAAATCCGTATGATCAGAAAGCAAGTCTAGCTCCACATGTAGATTAGCAGTTTAATCAAAAATGCATTTACACAATCTAAAATTTGGAGAATGTTGAGGCTGGTTAGGGAATGTTGTAAAGCTACCTTTTGTCATTAGTTTTATGTATTTTATATATTTTCAGGGTTCCACGTGTCATCAGTGCCGCCAGAAAACTGTTGACACAAAGACGTGCTGTCGCAGTGAGGACTGCCGTGGGATTCAGGGTCAGTTCTGCGGGCCGTGCCTGAGGAACCGATATGGAGAGGATGTCAAAAAAGCGCTGCTTGATCCGGTCAGACTGATGATACCCCAACACTGAACTGTGCAAAAGCAAAAAACTGTTCATCTTACACACACACACTTAATTATTAAAGTTTTGTATAGAGATATTAGGACACGGGTCATGTATAAAATTATAACAAAAATGAAACCTGTAGAAACATTGACCTCCCATCATACCCGTAGATTCGGGTTTTAAAACCTTCATTTTCTCTCCAGGACTGGAAATGCCCTCCCTGTCG